CGCTTAACCCTTTCCGGCACGCTACCTTTTAAAATCGAAGTTTTGATTAAAAAAAAAAAAAAAAAATAGGCAGTCTAATTAGGTCTAGAGGAGTACACAAGTAAAATTTTGTGAAGATAGCACTTAAAGTTTTAATTCTGTGGGTGTGCACAAGGTGGCACATTGAATAGAGCTTCGAAAAGAGTGCTGAAACGAGCATTGTTGTCAATGAACTGACCGATGAGATGCGGAGAAAAAAAGAATACAGATGAGATGAGAAACAAAGAATACAGACTCTCAGTTGTCCTAGATGATCGGTGAGCCCGGTCTGGGAACACCTAGGGTTCGCAATTTGATTTTAGGCAAGATTTCAAGGTAAAAATTTAAAACTAGTATAGAATAAGGAAATTAGCATACAGCCAAAAAAATAACATAGAAATTTCTTTTCAAACAATTCCTTTTATACCTAAAAAATATCTGGAAGATTTCTTTGAAATATGAGGATCTTAAAAAACTAAACAAGGCTAAAATATTTGGACTGGTCTGTGTTGAGCTGCCGTCTACTATAAATAAAGAAGATTCAGAGTAATCTATAGTAACCTATAAATCCTTTTTCATTCAATTTTTCTGTGCGTACAGAAGGAAATTTTTAGAATGGTCCAGAGCGGACCCACTGTGCCGCAAAGGGTTAATGAGCTTCTAACCTAATTTCCTCTAACCGTGCATACGAGCCAGATTCTTTTAGAAAGTCCTCCCCGAAGGCACCCCTCTCCCTAGGAAGATAACCCTCGTGGGCTTTGCTGTGTCTAAATAGCCCCATACATACATACACACTGAATTGCTCAAATTCTGGCTTCAATAAAGAGAATGTTTGGTTTACAAGCAGATTAAGAAACAATTTTGAGGTTGTTTCCCGGATCTGCAGAAACTTCACCAGAAAATTCAAAATCGAATATTCGTTTCGGTATTTACATATTATCCCGTCGATCGTTGGCGAAAATTTAGGCAACGGTCGCCAGTCGCCACTGCGAAATTATAAAGGACACTGTAATCCATAATTGGCGCTAAATCGGGCTACTTGGTCGGTCGATAGATTCATATACAAGTATCTTCTGTCGAATTTTGCAGCATGACAAATGAGGATTACAGGTAGTTTTTTCATCAAAAGGCAATAATGCACCTTCTGAAGAAAAGCCATTTTTCACTGCTTCATAGCTTCATTATGCTGAACAGTCCATTTACATGGAGCATTTTCGTCAATAAACTTTGTGAAAGCTCTGCAACTATTTCTTTATTAGAACGAAAGCTATAATACAATTAGAAAGCCTAATAAATGTGTCTGTAACTGTTGCTATTTGTAGAAATTGAAGCAAATTACATGACTCCTATTTTGGATTTAGGTGAATGGATGAATGACATGTGCGTCAATCTTGTATCCCATGAATTCTATTTCGGTTGCGCCAAAATCACATTTTACTTCATTTATATGCAAACCTGCTTCTCTTGACGTCTCCCATTCACCAAAATGTTCCTCAAAATCAATTTTCCGTTCGGTGCAATTTCCGTTGCCGCTCTAAATTCTAAAATATTTAGCCCTTCCTAAATTCTGCTTCTCATTAGCTTATCTTGCTTTCGGTGCTTCTTTGAATTCTAAAAACTCTACTGCTCCTAAATTTTGCCGTCTGATGCGGTCGCACCAGCGCCGCTGTCAAGTCGATCATAACGCGAAATCCTGAAAAGCTGGTAGCGACATCTGGTGCTAACCATTGCAACCGTCAGCTCACAGCATGAAAAATTGCTTGTGGGTTTCGTTCCAGGTTGTATTTTTTTAATAAACATAATTAAATAATACGAAAAGGTTACTTTTCGTTTAAGAAGGCACTCCTTGCTCTAGAGATGGCATGAAATATAATTGAAGTTAGGAATGGCAATTAATAACGTATACGACTTCATGAGAAGAATGGTTATTTTTTAAATCCGAAATAAATATAAAAAGCAAAGACCACTACAAAAATTCATAAATAAGGGGAACACATGTAGTTATTGCTATCGACATGAATTAGTGTGACTTAGGATAGGCCTTTCCTAGTGATAGAAGTCTGACAGAAACATATCAGATATCTATCATTTGTCTGACAGAAACATACCAGATAAATTGCGAGGATGTTATCAAAGGCAAGGAGCTGTCAAAGCTGTGACTGTCTTAGGATTTGGGTACCTTACGTATGCCATAACGTCCCAGTTGCGAAGAAAAGTTCCATGGTGTAGGCTGGATCCAAAGGCCTTTCACTCCTCTTCCTCTACCAACAGTCTCTCGAGAGGATTTACAACTCAATAGTATTTTAAGTGCTTCCATGCCACAAAGATACTATACACTTAACAAACATCCAAATCATCTCCTAGCATCGGGTCCGAGCTCAACACTATGGCAACTACTACCATGCCAACAGAACAGCACATAAGCTCTAGACACCAGAAGTAAATAAATCAAATAGCTGTCAAAACATAAAACGTGAATTTTCAGACCAACTTTTACTCTGCAAACGTTTCTTCTTGCCGCACGATTTTACATCTACACCATTTCGATACTTCGTTATTAAATAGTTTTATTTTAAGTTTTACGAAAGACGTCTTTTATAATAGATGTTACCAATCTTTTGGAAGAATTTAATCATGCCAAATTGCTTAAATCATAGTGATTTTCTTTCATTTTATTGTTATCATAATTATTATTTTTAAAAATAAGATTGTTTTTACATTCAAAAAAATAAATAAAACTGAAAAACTCAAAGAGAAAATTGTTTGATGATAAGTTCAATAATTAATAATTATTAAAAGGCTTACCTTGAATATAGACTGAATTATAAATGTATAGCTACCTGGAAACATATTATTTTGACACAAATAAATAAGGACACAAAATAAACAAAATTTAGACTTAGAATTAGAATTCTGCTAGTGCTTATATGCACTAGCAGAATTCTTACATGGTGACATTTTTACATTTAATTCTTGGGTCGTTTGGTTTTTACATCTGTTGCCACAAAAACAAAAACAAAATTAAAATAGAAGCGCGAAAAAACATCTGGCTCGAGGGCAGCGCCATCTGTAAAGAATGATAAAATAAGGCGTAAAAACATTTTGAAACTTAACGAAAATTATTGGTTAGATGTTAATTTTTCTCGTTTATTCTCAATGATGTCATTGTATAACTACTCAAGAAGGGAAATAAACAGATATTTAACGTTTTGATGAAAAATTTTCGATTGGCATCCCGTTAACCGGAAAATATAACGAAAAATAGTATTAAATGCTACAATTATAAGTTTGTTGTTATTTGACTTTTAGTAGGCTATTGGTTATTCGCTTAAAAATATATGAAATTCGAAGATGCAAATTCTATGAAAAATTCCACCTGTGGCTGTGGGAATAAAAACACTATTTCTATAGTAGGTGAATGCTAGTAGTGTGATCTGGGTTCAAAACACAGCAAACAGTATGCTTGCATAGTTTTTAGTGATTTTCCCTGTATGCAGCGTGAACGCAAGCCAGTCTCAGCGAAGTCCTTTTCCGAAATTAATCCTCCCTGTAGACCAATACCCTTTTCGCAGCATACATTATGAAGCACAAAAATTTAATAACAAATAAAAGCAATGATTTATCTTACTCAAAACGAAACCCAGCTGCTAGAAAATATTTTTCCTATTCTCTATTGCATATAAATGTTACTCTTCAACATTTTAATGTCATTGTTGTGCTATGAGAGAATTAAAAAAAAAAAAAAAAAAAAAAAAAAACTTTTCATCTTTTTATAAATGACATAATTTGTTCACCTAAATGTATCTTCGGAATTTTCGGAATAGTTTTCTCCAGTTGTCACTTTAATCGAGTCAATTTTCTTTAAAGAGTTCTCCACGAAAGCATCCCTTTAGATAGATAACTCTCATATGCTTTGCTGTAATGTAAATAATACAGTTCAGTCAGATTCACGTAATAAGAATTTGTTTAACCTAAAACGGAAAATGGCCGAGAGGAGAAAAGTTTCAAATTGTGTTTAACCTTGTTGACGAACGAAGGAGAACCTTTATTTTACGCGTTATTGCACCCTTTACAATACTTTTATCAATGTATGTCGAAAACAATGTTAAATAAAATTTATTAATAATATAGAAATAATAATTTATTAAATAACCTGCTTTTAACTGTATATAAATGCATTATTTATTGTACAATAATTGTATTACTAATTAACAGTTCATTGTATAAGTTAAATAAACTATTAATTAATGATAAAATTTAGTTTAAAAATTATGTTTTAAATATTAAAATTTACGAATTTTTGTCATAAATATATAATCTTGCAATTCTATTTTCTGACACAATTTTGAAGAAAATTCTGCAATGCATAGAAATTATGAAAAAATCATGATCTACTATCTAAGCATAAAATTTATTTATTATGAGTAGGTTTAATAATTGTTCCAATTTTTTTTAATAACGTATGTTGCTTGTATATTTATGAATTTCTTAATGTATTTAATTATCAAAATTCTAAACTGTACTTTTTAAGATTAATTAAGAGTTTTCAGCATCACCTTTCTTCTTTTCTCAACGGGAAAATAAATTACCAAGAACTGTAGAATAATATAGAACCTTGGCCTTATGTCGGCCTAGGCGGTAATCAAAGCTTACTAAACGCCACCCAACTCTACTTGATTTGGAATTGTAATACGCTAATACGCTAAATAAAATTAGTTTGCACATTATAATTTGATAACAAAAATGAATAAAATTTTGAAAAAATAAAATTTAAATATGTAAATTTTTAATAATCTAGAAAGTTGTTCAAAGTTTTGATAAAAAGAAAACACTGAACTTCCTGAAGATTGTGTTTAAAACTGATAATGCGCAATTATTTTTAACAGAAACGTATAGAGGGCAGCACATGCAAACATTCATTGGAACGCTTCCATAAAACGAATTTCTTCTCCCTGTGTAAACTGTCATATTCTGTTGTTTTGTGGTTGTGATCGCTTTGCCGGTTGTTTATTTCCTCTTCTAGCGGTGTTCCAAAGAGTAAATTCAAACTGTGCTTGGTTTTACGATAGAATTTGATTTCCTTGTTTGAAACTGTGAAGACCGGTTCGTATTTTTCGAATCGAATTTTTATATAAGGTATAGTTAATAACTTTGTGTTAGAACTATTTGAAAACGATTGGTAGAATCATCATGTTGTATTATAAGAACATTTAAATACCTTTTAACGAAAATATCACTTTTTATGAATTATATATAAATTAGTAAATTTGTTTTTTCCTTTCACTTTGAAATATTATCAATCACTTTCCTTTACAGTAGTGTATTAGTCATATTGACACTTTTACGCAGTATGTTTAATTTTCTCTCTATATGCAGTGATAGAAGTTATTTTTGAAAGTTGCAGTAATAGGGGAAAAAAACAGTCATTTCCAAATATTTGTAGCCAGAATAAATCAGTAAATGTGAAAAAAATAGATGTATTTATATAAAGTTCAAATATAATGTTTAAAAATTCATATTAAATATTTCCATAAATTCAACATCAATAGTTAGTAGTATTCAACTCTTTATAATAAATGTATAATAGCATGTATAATAAAACTGCTTAAAAGTGCATCAATTATTCAACTTATTAGTGTAAAAATCAGTATATATATGCATATATAGAGAGAAAGACATAATAGATAGACTGATAGATTTGGTAATCCTTTAAATTAATTATGAAGGCGAATTACATAGTTCAAAGCATGTGTGTGAAAGTTTTATGTTAAATATTGTCTGATTTGAATTATAGGACTAATTCATAATATATTTAGGGAAAAATTTGACATGTATATCTCCCCCCTTAACTGGATGTAGTATGTTACTTTTGGCATTCAGCCAAGGATAAGATGATTACCATAAAACAAATTATACCTTTTTATTTTTCACCTTATATGTTATATGAATATTTCATTTTTCTTTAGGCATTGTGTGAGGACATTTGATCCTATCTTATTATATATCTTTTATCATATTTCTGGAAGATATATAAAATATACAGAAAATAGAAAATTTTAATTAACTTTCCTTATTTGAATCACAAATTATCATGCATGTATGCATTTCATTAATTACTAAATGTGAATTTATAATAAATTTAGTGATTTGCTTGTTGAGGTATGCATTTTAGAACAGGATTATTTTTCATATGAAGTACCATGAGAAATTTACTCCTTATAGGCTTATTATATCTTGCTTCATTATTAATCATTAAATCTATTACTGATTAATATTAAATAACTAATATTTAGTAACTGATAAAACTGCATGCAAATTTAAATAATTATATTTCACTAGTTACTGAAAAATATAGTCAACTATCACATGTATTTGCTGATATATATTCTAGTAAATATCTGAGTATTGGAATCATTCACATGCTGTAAGAGAATTATTAGATATATAAATTATATTCATAAAGCAAATTATATTTATAACTTGTCAGTTAACATAAAAGTGTTAAAAGTGGTATAACTAAATTTTAAATTTTACTAGATTGGAATATTCTCCATAATTAATGTATTTTGAAATAGGAATATCTTTTTATTTACATGTAAGAATTTTTAAATATTTCTTTCATCAAGCTGGAATTTTCAGTCTTTTCTAAGGTGTGTATACTTGGCATATATCCTTAAATTATAAGCATTATATTTTCAAACATATATCTTCTTTAACTGTTTTAATTCATTTTGGCTCAACTGACAGCTGCATGATTGCATGTTGACATGCATTTCTATGTGTATGCATCATGTTATACAAAAATAAATTCATTTTCATTCTTGCTTTAAAGATATCTATATTGTCTTTTTGCTCAGCCTCTGTGTTTTCTTAGCATTAAACTGGAGAGTGTTTTTACTAATAACTGTAAAAAAATTTTTAAATATGATGTTTCATAATTTCAGGCTGATACTGTAAGAATTAATTATGAAAAATCATATGTTGAAATTGAAGTTTAATTTATAAGCACATAAATATGATAATAATTGATAGACATTGATTTATTCAATTACATGTAATAATTATTTGAAGCAATACATTAATTTCTGTATTTTAATGAAATGTTACATTTTCCCATAACAAAGGTTTTAATTGTCATTTTCTACCTAAAATAATTAATCTATTATATTATATATATATATATAATTATTATTTTAGATTTTATATATATTTCCAAATGCATAGATTCCAGGTTGGAATTCTTTCTAGTGATCTTGTATTTTTAATATGTGCATTTATTTTTTAGCTAATCTAAGTTGAAAGTAAAAGTAATGGAAAAAAAATGATGAATGAAAAGGTTTTTATTTCATTCATGCAGTAACTGTAACCCGTTTTTTACAATTACAAGACTAGCCTTGTAATTTTTTTTATGAGAATTCTTACTTCATATGACCTTCTGGCTTTGTTCTGTTAATCTTGCTTTATTCAAAGACCCACTTTTGTTTTGCATGCTGATGATATTTTTCCATAATTCTGAGCTTATTCCCATAATTTTGAACTATAGCCTAATATTCATATGCAAATATTTTACCTTTTTTGGTCGGTTATTTTTCAAAACAAATTTATGCAATTTTAAACAAAGTGTGTAGTTTTGTAATTGTGTAAGTGTTTGGTATTTATTTGTTATTCTGGTTGTTCTATTTTTTAAATATCTTTATGTCATATTCAAAATATGACACGGTGACTATTATTTTAATCTACTTTCACAGTGTGTTATGATTTTTTAAAATAAAATAATAATAATAAAAAAAACTGCTTAAAAAAGCGTTTGTTAAAAATGGTAAGCCGAAAATGGGCGGATATCATGATGGGATCAAAAATGAAATATAAAATAATGTATGTCTTATGATAGAAATAAAGTGATAAATGGGTGCCTTCATATATTATGTCTACGCATAACACATTATTTACATCCAAAAATATAAATTCGTACTTCAAAAAATTATAACATATTTTTCAGTTGCCTATAAATCGCCAATAGCAACTTACCATTGTCAGAAATGCAATTTTGGATCCAGCGCAGTAATTGCCTTCGGATGGAGGGTAAACTTTTGGAGGAATGTAATAATTTCGTTTTCACTTGATGGTAAATTGAAAAGCTGTCATCATTTTAAGTAATACTAATAAGAATAAAAATTTCTTGCGAACAAATAAAACGATTTCACATTTCATGTTCCTTAGTTTCGATTATGATTTTCCTATACTGTTTGGCGATAAACGCCGCCAAACTTGGCAATAAATCTCAGGTTGTTGGTAAAACCAGCAAGTATCTCAGATTCTTAATGTATTCTAAAAGCAAATTAAAGTCAGAGTATATAGAAAAGTCCTTATGTGCTTTCCTGTTAACCCTATAAATTAATAAAGTTTTCCACGTTTTTTAATCTTTCTTTGTAGACTGATTTATTGTCTCCATTGGTGATCGAAGCGATACATTCATTGATGTTGTTACCGGCAAAGTTTGAAATCCGGCACTCTATAGAATGCCTAGGCATTGTATATAATGCCTAAAACTAGCCGGCAATGTATGAAACGATTCGTATTTCACGCACTTCATAGGCATTCTATAGAATGCCAAATGACAAACCGGTAAAGTATGAGAATGCATTTCCTATTCATTTCGAAAAACCAAACTACTTACCAGAAGTTAATAAATGATGTGACTACTAAGAAGGGACTACTGGCTGCGGAATCGCTAGGATGTGATGTTTGTGGAAAACAAAACTACATTCATTTATCCTGTTAAAGAAAGCGTCAGTACTATACAGTATTACGCCACGGACGTTGAGTTATTTCCCGTACTTCATGACACTTCATTTGAGTACTGGACACAAAAATGCAGAGTCGTAGCTAGGGTTTTCAGCGCCCAGGGACAACTGAAGATTTCGCGCCCCCTACTGCTTCCCAACGATGGAAAACATTTATTTAATTCTAAAATGTCATAACATCAGTTTGGCGCCCGGGAACAGATGCCCCCCTTGCCCCCCTCTAGCTACGCCCCTGCAAAAATGGTGAAAGAACTTTCAACCAAATAAAAAAAAAAAAAAAAAAAAAAAGGTACTTTTCCGTTTTGCCGGCGCAAACGATAAAGTCGCCAATAATGGTTTAACTGCCAGACGGAATATCTTCGCTGGTAACCTTACGCCTCAGTTTCAAACAAGTTGAAGCCATTTCTTATCAGATTGTTCTTTCAATACTGCATACAATATATAGAATTTTTTACACGCTTTTAAATTTTATATCCCTAAGACAATTCACGTAATTAAGTCATTAGAACGCAATTACACCGCTCATCCGAAGCGAAATCAAGTGTTAAATTCATCAATTCTAAATGAGAATGCACTAGCGAGTAAAGCACTGCGGTTTTACATAATTTCTGAGTAAGCTATTCGTACGAATTGAAATAATCTTGCATTTAAACTTGTATCCAATAAGATTAACTTAAAATAATGTAGATTATACTGAGCGAATTAAATTTTAGTAGCGTATTTACGTGAGATGAGATCACTTGGGGTCACGTGATACGAACCGGCGATCAGGATTTTGAACCATGAATCATAGTAATTCTTAAATTAATGTCTTTTACAAATTTATTTGTCTTTATTATTGGCTTTTTACAAAATTTTAAACCATATAAATGTTTATGCCTTCGAATAAAAAAAATTCTTAGAATTAACATTTTTTATGTGTATACTGTATGTTGTCGCCAACAAAGTCTGCTTGGCGAGATTTGCGCCGGCGAAACGGAAAAGTACCAAAAAAAAAAAGTTACACGCAATGATACTGAACTGTACAACCACCTTTGTAAGCCTGGTAAAATCCTAGTATACGGTGCAGCCTTGGCGCGATTTTGAAAATTATCGCCAACACCAAAAATTACCAAAAGAACGTCTATGTATATATAGTGATAGTAAACTATACACTATATACTATCACTATGTATAACTACATATATTCTTCGAATACCCGTTTACTACTCATCGTATATGTCCCGTTTTTACTGCTCATCATAAAAGTAGCCAAATCCCGTGTGCACCGGATACTAGGATTAAACCGTAAGGGTAGTAAGCCCTGCCAGAAAAAAACAAAAAGGTATTATA